ATGGGTTGCGGCTAGAAGGGCATCCGCTGCGTAAAAACTTGCTGGATAAGTTGGCGGTTCATTCCGCTGTGACGACCCCGGAATAATAAAGGGACTAAGCCGACAAGAAAATGAATGAATGAATGATGAATGAATGCATATCTATTCATTTCAGAATGATCGATGTTGGCCCCAAATGCCTTATTATTTATTTAATTACTTATTCATTTATATTTGTCATAGTGAAATTGTCTGTAAGTGGGCTACTTTGTGAGGAAACAAACAAACAAACAAAAAAACAACTGGAATCTTTTCTGCATTCACTAAGCCAGAAAAAGCAGAAAAAGCCAATTTGCCTGACTAAGCATGACTATTCCTAATGCACGAGGCCAAATCAGTGCATGCAAAGAGCGTAAGAGAGAGAAAATGAGAGAATTAAAGATATATATAGCTGCCTCCATCATTTAGCTCCATTTCCCGATTCTTACCGCCATTTTACTGAATGCTCGAATCCAATATTCAGACGTCAGATAGTATTTGCTCTGTTTACACACAACAAATGATGTTTTATTTACGCATAACAAATTATGTTGTGTTTCACTGAAGGATTGGAGAGTGAGGGAGAAAAAGTAACCGCTGGTGCCATGACCCGGAGTTGAAGAATATAAATAGAGGCAGAAAGCGAGAGAGACAAATCAACACTAAGAAGCGCACTAAGAAGCGGAGCAAGTCTAATTGGGGTCTTGCTTTATTTGCCGTCTCTCTGATCACACAGAAAGCTTCCTGGGGCATTAGAAGTGCTGCAAAAACTGACCTACATTCAGCCTTACAACATCCCTTTCTTCCCTGAGGAGGCTTTTTGAAGTCCTTTATGCAGATCTGGAGTCAGAAGATGCGCTGATTTATCATAAATGTATCTTTTTTGGTTATAAGGAATTCAATTTAGTAAGAAACTACCAGGTACCGAGCTTTGTAAGAATCAGGCAGATTTTTTTCCAGTTAAAATGAAGGAACAACACTTTTTTTGTAGTCTAGAGTTAAAGGTGCAGTAGGTGATTGTCTTCTGAAACATGTTTTGTTGTGCTGGTTGAAAGTCTCTTCACAGTCCAATAGTAATGATTACAGTAAATGATCTAAATGTGTTTATATGCATTTTTATATTCTGGGTAAGGCATAAAACTAAAAAAGTTCATCCAATTAAATAGAGTCGGACCGACATCTCTCATAATTCTGATAAGCAGGTCAGACTCTCTGTCAGCAAATGCAGATTCGGACTTCTGCGCATCTGTTCACGCAGATCGGCCATTCGCGCGTGCCCATCTGCATAAGCGGTCGCGCGGTCACGAGACAGACCGGGAGAAATCAAATGCTGGATTGAAACTTTTAAAAACCTGAATCAATATTGGAGTTACTTTAGCAAGCTGGAGGAAGGACGACACCATGGCTGAAATGTTACTGTTAGACCGGTAATGTTCTGTTTTAAAACTATTTTAGTCAGGCTAAGCTTATGTTAGATTGTGTTGTGTTATGAATGACTTATATGCACAGACGTGTTGTTCAGCCACTAAAATTTCCCGGTGAAAGATTGAAGTGATTATTTTCAGTTTCATAAGGTCTTTTTACAGCATCTATAATGTAGATTTATATTTAGTTTAACAACAAAACATCAGTAAATAGCGCTGTTCCGCCTAGCCTGCTTTATTGAGCTGAAGTTGCTTCTATATTCACATTGGGTCATTTTTGAACAATGACAGCCCCTTCCTACAGTTTACCATGCTACTCTGAATATTCACTCTGAAATAGCATGTAAGTGTGGCTAAGTAATAATAAATTTAATTCCTGCACGGCGCTGGCACTAACTACAGTAACTGGCGAATGACATGAACTAGTGGGTTGTCTGTCTGCTGTTGTGACGCGGTGCGTGCACTCGCGATTTCAGGGGGTGTGGCTTTAAATCACAGTCCCTCACCGCCGTCCAAAGATAATATGCTAAGCAGTTAGCATTTTAACAGATCACCTACTGCACCTTGAACTTTTGAACTTTTTTTAATCCATTCAGCCAATATTTGGGTCTGAATGGGGCACTGTTAGCTTAGCTTAGCATGATTAGCAACAGATTAGACCATTAGTGTCTCATTCAAAAAAGTCCAAAGAGTTCCGATATTTGTTTTATGTAAAGATTCTACTGTAGTTGAATCATGTATTAGACTGATAGAAAATATTGTTATGATCTATACTCTCATTTTGACGTAACAATCAAGGAACTTTGCTGCTGTACCATGGCTGGAGCAGGCACAATTATATTACGCAGTGACTTTAGTGTATTAAAATATGGCTCCAGATCTAAACTAAACCAAAACTAAACTAAACTAAACTAAACTAAACTAAACTAAACTAAACATGCTCTGAATCATCTCTCGCAACGTTGGTTTTATTGATGGATGTTTGCTGATTTTCATTTGCTGCTTACTTTGGAATTTCATAATATGGAAACCTGTAACCATTGACTTCCATGGAATAATTTTCCATCTATGGATTTAAATGGTTGCAGGTTTTCAGCATTCCTCAAAATATCTTCTTTTATGTTCGACAGAGAAAGCTCACAGGTTTGAAACCACTTAAAGGTGAGTAAATAGTGAGTATATTTTCATTTTTGAGTGAACTATCCCTTTTATAGAAAGTAAATTGGATGACAATTCAGAATAATTATCCCTGCAATAACATCAACAGCGTCATCACTGATGTTGCAGTGATTATAATCGGCAGTGACATCACTGAACAATCAGTCACTGTTGCAAATCAACAACACAAGACGATTCAGAAGCGCAGCTAGACGCTCACAATTCACCCAGATCACTCGATCAGTGGCTCACGTTCACCTGAACAGCCATTTTAAACTCCACTTCCTTAAATAAACACACCCCTCCATTTTATAAATTCTTTAAGCTCGTTATGTTGAATTATTCATGCTTCAGAGAAGGCCGTTCCTGCAGCGCAGCGCAGCATGTCCACGCTCCATCCCAGAGTCACAGAGACAATGACATATTTCACCAACAAACCTGCAGTTACAGACGCAAATGTGTCGTCGGAATGGAAGGAAAGAGTATTGAAAAATTTGCATCATAAACAGGCGTAGAGGTGTGGACACACCGTGATCAAGTTGAATGGACGGAGAGCTTCTGTGTGCATGCTGAAGACAATCGCTAAAGTGCTGATGCTGATGATTCTCAGTGCACAAACCCCAGAACCAAAGAAACAGAGCATCACAAATGAAGCTAACAAGCAGAATAACAAAACAACTGCAATCCTCTTCAACATAAAATATGAGGACAGAAATACAGATTTAGTGGGAAAAAACAACAAACATCTGAATATCTGATTGTTTGTTTACATATCTATCTATTCGCCTTCTCTCTCTCTATTTGTCTGCCTGTCTCTCACTGTCTATCCTGTCCATCTTTCCCACCCATCCACCCACCCACCCACCCATCAATCAATCAATCAATCAATCAATCAATCAATCAATCAATCAATCAATCAATCAATCAATCAATCAATCAATCAATCAATCAATCAATCTATCTATCTATCTATCTATCTATCTATCTATCTATCTATCTATCTATCTATCTATCTATCTATCTATCTAGTCTGTCCATCCCTCCTTCTATCCAGCCATCCATCCATCATTTCATCTATGTATCTACTCTGTCTGTCTCTTCCTCCCATTCTCCATCTATTCATCTATCTATTTCCTTTTTCCGACCTTTCCTCCATCCATCTATTCAGTCCATCTCTCCCCCCTCCCTCCATCCATCCATTCGTCCATCTAGTCCCTCCCTTCCTCCTTCCCTCTGTCCATCCATTCATCTATCGATCCATCCAGTCTGTCCATCCCTCCCTCTTTCCAGCCATCCATCCAACATGTCCATCTATGTATCTACTCTATCTGTCTCTTCCTCCCATTCATCAATCTAGTCCTTCCTTCCCTCCCTCCCTTCCTCCATCCATCTATTCTGTCTGTCTGTTCCTTCCTCTATCCATCCATCTAGTCTGTCCGTCTCTCCCTTCCTCTATCCATCCATCCATCCATCCATCCATCCCTTCATTCATTAATCTATCCCAACTGTCCATCCGTCCCTCCCTTGCTCTATCCATCTAGTCTGTATGTCAACTCATCCATCCATTTATCCTTTTATCCATCCAGTCTATCTGCCCCTCCATCCATCACATCTATCCATGCAGTCTATACCCCACTTCCACCCGCTGGTCTGTACCTTCCTACCTCCCTCCCTCCCTCTATCCATCATGTTCATCTATTCTATCTATCTAGTCAGTCGATCCATACATCTATCCATCCATCCATTCATTCACCCACCTATCCAGTCTGTTCATCCCTTTATCATCTACCCATCCGGTCTGCCCATCTATCTATCTATCTATCTATCTATCTATCTATCTATCTATCTATCTATCTATCTATCTATCTATCTATCTATCTATCTATCTATCTATCTATCTATCTATCTATCTATCTATCTATCTATCTATCTGTCTGTCTGTCTGTCTGTCTGTCTGTCTGTCTGTCTATCTGTCTATCTATCTATCTATCTATCTATCCTGCTTTTCTGTCCATCCATGCCATCCATTCATCCATCCATCCAATCTAGCATGTTCATCCCTTAACCATCTACCTATCTCGTCTGCCCATCCATTCATCCATCTATCAAGTCTGCCTGTCGATCCATTTGTCCTGTTTGTCCATCCATCCATCTTGTCTGTCTCTCCATCCATCCCTTTCAGCTGTCTAAATGATGTACAGTGGATCATTTCCAATTTCAGATTACATTTCCCACTGCGGCCAAACAACAGACTGTGTTTCGTCTGACCCAGCATCCCAGCAAAAGACTCATTCATCAGCACCCACAGTCTCATCCACACACATCCACCCACTCGCACCAAAAAAAAAACATCTTTCGTTTCATAAACACATGCAGTCTTCAACATGTACAATAACTCACCAGAGAAGAAGTTCTTGGCGCGCAGGTAACTGACACTCAGGCGCAGAATGGAGAGTTTGTCCAAGCTGCTCGTCACCTCCTCTGGAAATGGAAGAAGACTAGACAACCGGTCCAACTCAGAGTTTAACCGATCTCGATGCCGTTTGGACGGGTTCGACTTCACCCCTTCAGCTGGAGGCTGCTTCACCCTGAATACAATAACACACTTCAGAAGTACTATTCAACAATGGGTTAAATGGTGACACCCCCCCCCCCCCCCACTTCCCCAAAAAAGACAGTTTGGATGGCATGAAAATATACAAGCCACACTCAAAAGTCAATTTGCATATAACTATATGGTTGTTTTCACTAAATTTGCTCAATTGTCAACTTTCTGCCTGTTGTGTTAATGGATTTGCATATTGTTGGGTCTGCACTGTTCTCAGGAATAATAATACATTTCAGTATTTGATTTAAGGGAAATTTGTGTGCACCTTTGTACAAAAAAACACTTTCGGGTCACCACCCTAGCGTAAAATCTGAATCCTGGTACACGCACACAGGCACGCACGTCACGTATACATGCAGAGATTATGAAATGTAATGGGCTGTTACTGTAAATAAGATTTCATTATGAATGAAACAATCACTGCAGACTGATGTGACTGTTTAAAGTTATGTACAGAAAATAAATAAATAACAATGTCAATAATAATTTATAAAAAAAAATAAATATATATAAGTTGCTTTGATTATTTTATGTAACAGCTATATAAACTTGATTTTAAAACTAGGTGGCATAACTGTTAATAATGAAGGTGTTTTAAAAGAATAGCATTAATTAATAATCAAATATATGAACATAATTGTGCACAACATAAATTCAAATTCCAGGGTAAATCTTGCAAGTTTATGTAAAATCATGTAATAAGTCAATTACTAAATAAAATTAAAACAATAATTCAAATAATAAAAAAAGATATATTAAAAATATATTATACAAATAATATATTTTGGTAACACTTTATAATAAGGTTGTATTAGTTATTGCATTTCCTTACACGAACAAAGAGTAAACAACACATTTATTCAGTTAATAAAAATACAATTAGTTCAAGTTAACTCGCAGTGCATTAACCAACGATAAAAAACATACATTTTTATTTTAATAAGCCATTAATAAACGTTGTACTATGATTAATATATGCTCTACAAGCACTGTTCATACATAGTTCATGTTAGTAAGTATATGAACTAATTTACAGGAATTTTGATATCATATTTTAAATAAAAGTGTGATAGCAAAAATAGCAATCACTTCACTCCGTACATTTTCAGAACAGCATTCCAGAGCACTAATCTGATATCTTTTGATATATTACAATTTAAGGCAGGAATTTTAATGTACATTCTTGTACATGGTAAAGAATAGAGCAGTAAAGCCTTATGTAAGCATATTATTACCAAGCGAGCAGTACTGAGAATTGGAATAGAACATTATTACGCACACAAATAACACAAAAAGCACTAATAATACTACCACGTTTGATTAACTGAAATGAAATAATAAAAGTACATATAAATATTTACTTCTGACAGACTGGCCTAAAGAGATTATATCCGACCAACATTACTGTTGTGAGTTTCTGAGGGAAAATACTAATAAACCACTAATTATCGCTAAATATTGGTTTGTTTTTGTATATAATGTCGGGCTACATGTTCTCTCAGAATCCAATATGCTACATTAATTCATCACACAGACACACACTTTTCTGTTAAACACTCACGTCCTTTGCACCGGTTTTCTTCTTTTTCGTCCCGCGTACATGTTTAAGGCGTCAATATGAGGAGTCCAAGTCTTCAGGTGAAATTAATTATAACAAATTATCAGAAACAGAAATCCTTCTAAATTAAGCAAAACAACCCCGTAAACAAATAAAATCTGATTTCATGCGCAGGTCGTTAGTGTTAAAATAATAATTATACTTGAAAAAATGCTTATAATAAATATAATATTGTATAAATTGTGCAAAAAAGGCACCCAAAATCTCAATATCACATAAAAGGAAACGCAAAGAGTGTAATTCCTCTTCAAATATATTTTAGCATTGATAAGAAGTGACAAGAAATCCTCTTCATCTTATTCGTCCCCAACAGTGCTGATGAGTTTGTAAACAAGCCTCCAAAGTCAAATGTTTGGCTAGAATAATACATTACACGTTATATTTACACAAATAAACCAAATCCCGCGTCATAATTTGTTCCAGCTTCGTGTCTAATTCATTTTTGGCCGAGCCGCTTCACTAAGTCCCCCCAACTGCGCGCTCTCGACATCGGTTTGAAGGGGCACGCGCATTTGGTTGACCAGGCAACCGGCACAGATTTGCGCAGGAGCGCGCGTAGAGCATCAGAGGCCACGGCTTAAAGGCAAAGGGGAAAAATCTCCTAGGATACAGAACGTCAGACTTTTTAACTCCTGTGATTGGTCAGCGGGGTTCAAAATTACGTTTCTATGCTTATGAATATTTATAACGAAATGTGATTTGCAGAAAGGCAGGCGTTGGCAAGTTGGCGCAACCAATCAGAGTAGGGAGGAGATATTGTTTATAAATATTAATGAGATTACACGCTGGATTCCCCAGGAAGGTTACCAAGAAACGCTCACACGCCTGATAAATATTAATTAGACTGCTGGACACAGTATGTTTGCTTTTCTTTTTTTAATCTGGTCAGCTTTTACACTTGATATTTAATACAAGGGCATTTTAAATAATGCTTGCCAAATTAAGATGTGTAAACACATTTTAAACATTAACTTTCAAGTAGGCCGACATTAACCCTTTCCCACTGAACATTGGACTTCTGATGGACGTCCAAAAGACATCTATTACCAACGGACGCAATATAGACATAGGCCTACATGCATGTTCGTCAGAGGTATGGTGGGTTAATTGTCTCACGAAGATTGCATTTCTTAACTCCTAATGTCGCTAGTTAACACTAATGCATTTTTTTCAACACATCACATAATTTCTAAAATATCAACCTCTACCACATCGTTGACAGGGGCGGAATTAAGGTAAGCGTCCACTTGGCCCAGTGAAATCTAAGGGTTCACAAAATAAATACCTAGAATAAATTATAACTATCATATTTTGTATGACGGGTGTCTAAAAAAATAAGTTTAATGTTTATTACACCGCAAATGGGCAAATGTGTCCCCCACCCTCAATAATGGATCAGTCAGCAGTTAAATTAGGTAGAGATTTAGTTTTAAAAGCGAAATAGTTCATAATTTTTAGTTGTGAATCCATTTTAAGAAAACAAATAATTGAAAAGGTTTACAAGCTGCTTACATGTTGTTATCATTATTCTGCATTAAGACAAAATGTAGAAAAGGAAATTGAGTGATATAAGAATAAAAACAGCAAAATATATTAAAATGAAATTAAAGAGAAAACGGTGTATTTTAGAATTTTCAGGCTCCATGGCCGGATGCTTATGACCCCCGAATCACTAAATCTGCCACTGTGGTTGACATGTCGGTTTATGGAAAGTACCGGAATTAATACATACACTATGGAAAAAAATCTGAAAATATGAAGTGTAAAATCAATTTATTTAAAGAATATTCAAAATAAAACATTTTTAAATGCTAAATCACCTTTATTTTTCGAAGTATGCCCTAAATATTTCAAATTCTCATTTAACATGATTTCTTGTTTTTTTCTTTTACAATAAAACCAAAAGTGTAGTAGTGCAACAGGATTTTGTATGTTTGATTTTTTATTTTTTTGTAAACCAACAATACTGTGCAGTGTAAACCATTATTTAAATTATTTAGTCATTTTTAAAATGACTTTAACAGTCATATTTTAAAACAGCGAAAATATAATCAACCATTTGGTAGAGCAAGTGGTTTAAGGGTTAAAGGGAAAAAAAAAGTTATTTAAATTTTGCTTTTAAATTTCTCAAGTTTAAATTAACCCTTATAATTTATAAAATAAAGAATTGCTATTCCACAGGCTATACAAAACAGACATCTCTGTTTACAGAAATTTACAAATAATTTCAAGGATTCTAATTACTATATAACAAATTTTTATAAAAAAAACCTTTCAATATTTGATAACTGAAAGAAACACAATTAACGCAGAAGGCCATGAAGGCGTAAGAATGTGGATAAACCAGGCTGATCTTAAGAGAATTAGCCACTAAATCAAAAAGTTGCGAACTGTCGTTAGAGTGTTCGGATAAACATTAGTTTTATTTGAAGGAAAAATATGACAGAAAACGCCCATAGGAGGTGAAGAAAATGGTTTTCAATCTTACCTTTTGTCCGAAAAATCCATTAAGGGAAACAGTTGATTTGAAAGCAGCTTTCATGAGGATGAGCAATTAGGCACCCAGTAAAATTTAATAGACGTCTAATAGACATCTAAACAGCTTGGTTAAACAGGGCTAAACTTTGGTTGTCAGAGAAAATCTAAAAGACATCTAGCCCATACTAGTCTTCAAATAGACAGACTTTATATGTAGTTATTCATTTCTGTTTATTTGATGACTAGTTTTGGCCTATTCTTAGACGTCTATTAGATTTTTGCTGACAGCCCAAATGTAGCCTTGATTTAGCCAAGACGATGTTTATACATCTATTAGACATCTTTTAAAAACCAAAAAAAAAAAATGCTTGCTGGGTAATGCCTTACTGAATGACGCCGACCCCTGTAAATATGCAAATGAACCCTCACTAAATTATCTAAATAAAATAAACGGTAACAGTAAACTTATAACTAACGTGGTTCACACGATGGGTTTACTAGCCTATACACTAAATGTGGCCATAAGGTAGGCTAAAAATGAAAATTAATTCGCCCAAAAAACATCGTTAGGCTACTTTTCCGAGGTTTAATCCTTATTTTCCAGCTTCTCTTATGCCGCATACTTTCCTACGCTGTCAGAACTAATGAATAGTCAATTCGACATTTATTGACTATAATAACAGTACTATTTACAGTATTAGAAGTTTATGTAGTACCACAGCAAAATCCCTCTAGGTGCACTCTAGGTGCATTCAAGCTCTTGCACACATCTGTTTTGCATGCATTTAAAAGGCGGTAATGATTAAAAGATGATTTGAAAGTGACTATATCTCCCCAATTTTTTTCTATAAAATGGTGGCCCATAATATTTCTCTATACGCCAATTGATGCAACTGAAAACTCGCCTTTCACTTTACATTAGCCTACAGTATACCATTGACCTGTACTGGCATACATTCAAAATAAATACATTAGCGCCCCCGTGCGGTAAACATGTGATCTATCTATCTATCTATCTATCTATCTATCTATCTATCTATCTATCTATCTATCTATCTATCTATCTATCTATCTATCTATCTATCTGTCTATCTGTCTATCTGTCTATCTGTCTGTCTGTCTGTCTGTCTGTCTGTCTATCATAAAATGAGCAGCTAAAGCCATTGAGTCATCAACGCCATTTTAGTATAATATCAATAATGAGAATCACAAAGTAATCATTTGATATAAAAATAAAAACAGACAAGAGCTATATTTATATATATATAATATAGATGTATGTGTATAGCCTGTATTTGTGTGACATCCATTTGAGTATACAGATTTTACAGTTGTGCTGAAAAAAAAGTACAAAATAAGATACATAATACATGTATGAAGCGTTTACAATGCAGTGTGCACAAGCCAAAACAAACAAACAAAAAAAAAACATACAATGATACAACAAATAAACAAAGATACTGCATTTTAAAAGAGGCCTCACAAACACGATACACAAGAAACTGAAGTGTTAAGTGCTATTATTTCTTCCTAAAGGATTTGTAGTTTAGTGGTGAAGGGCAGGACGTCCTAACAAGTGCGCATACAGTATATATGAACTTTTTTTTTATTTTGGCACCGGGGGAAGTTCAACGCTGTGAGTGAATTCAATTCAACATCTATCTGTGTTTATTCCACTATAAACCTGTTTTATTTTCATTTAATTATTCCACAACCATCTATTTATGGCACATAAGGGTCATTTTCTGGACCACTAAACCTTATCTAGTCGAATTCATAAAATAAGGCATAGACATTAAACTGTCTAATACAGTTTACGAAGCAGATGGACAAGATTTAGGTGACAAGAAATCTGTCGTCATCACTAAAAAACTAATTCTCAGTTAGAAATACGTTTTAATATTCAACACAGTGGTTCTCAATTGGTGGGTCACAGCCTAAAAATAGTTTTCGAGTGCGAAAAAGTGACCCAGACACCACACTTTTTTCAATGTGTTATTTCAGCAACATCTTTATGATTATGAACATAAGCGGAACAAATAAAACAAACTGTGCGTCATTTTCAACTTCACACCAAAAGTGTGAATTATTTTATTGCAACTATTTAAGATACATCAAATGCACGATACAAAATTAGCCTTAGCAAGACAAAGCAGCCTTTTTACAACAAAATAAAACAAATGTAATGTTTTAACTGACTGTAAAATCTGAAGTAAAACCATTTGAGAACCACTGTTTTAGTGAATATACAGCACTGTGGACGGAGCTACCCAGCACAAGTATAGCTTTTATCACTTAATTGTATCGCGCTTAATTAGAACAAGGCGTAATAGGTATTTCGAAGAATGAAAAACGAAAATCAGAGCAAACCAAATCCATCGCTATTATTTGTGCGTAATCATTTAGTCAACTTTAACAACTGATAAACGACCATCCATTAACCAACTATCTATCAATCAATCGATCAAGCAATCATTTAGCGATTTTCTAACCTCCTATCTTAACCAGCAGAAAAAAAATACATTACATCAAATCCAACAATTCCTTTAGCTTTCAGTACAAACGAAACCAAAAAGGGAATAACGTTAACGAAAGCTATTTTAAGGCACTTAAAAAGACAAACGGGGCATAATATGTCCTGTAACTCCTGAATTGTGAGGCTATGTACATTAGCAAACTAACATAATCGATTCCGTCCATGCTAACAACGGCCAGTTGTTAAAAAAACAATGCTTCTCAGATTCAATTATAGCTGCCGTTTCAATTCCATTCCTCCTTTCAATCATTTCATTAAAAGAGAGCAGAAAATGGGGAGGAATATGTGAAATATCCTTTGAATTGGGGAAAAAATTAAGGCACACAGTGTTTCCGTTTCAGACGATGAAAGGAAAAGGCTTTGGGAGTGTGAGTTTGAGGGATTAACAAAATTTCTGTTCTTACTGCAGGGGAAAAAAGAAGCAACAGCTAAATAAA